AAAGCGATGGACTGCTAATCCATTGTGCTCTGCAGCGTGGGTTCGAATCCCATCCTCGTCGTTCAGGGCGCATAGCTGATGGTGACCATTTTGCCTGTAAAAGCATGGTTTATTCCTTCTGAAATCTCTTGTGGAATAAGTCAGGTAAGTTACTTTCTTTCTTTAGAAAGCCTTTCTTCCTAGACAGTCACACCAAGTACAGCTTTTCATTTTCCAGTCAATATTCCCCAGTTCAAGGGCTGTGGGTTTTAGTCAGAACAATTATCTATTTGTCTGAGAAACACTGCTTTGTGAAATGAAACTTTGTCATGGTGATTATGTTGAAAACGTGTCATAACATTTGAGCATCTCTGCTACATCTGTATGCATTGCGTAATCACTTGTGTTGAGATTTTTTTCTTTGAGGATCAAATTCTGCAAAGTGATAGTCCATGGATCAATGCTCAGCAGACTAACACTCTCAAATTCGTGAAGCAATTGGCCAACAACTCTTGAATCTACATCTCCGGAGCACTGATTGGATGTGGCGTTATTTTTATAAAGATATAGAGAAGAGACAACCAATATCTGCATCTGAAATTCTCTCCACTGGGTCTATTATTGCTTTTTGAAAGCGATTGAAGTCATGCAATTCCATTTTTTTTCAAAGTCTGAACTAAAGATTCCAGCCACAGGCGACAGATATTCTATTTTTGCAGGGCAATGAGGTGGCGAGTGGTTAAAGGCGATGGACTGCTAATCCATTGTGCTCTGCACGTGGGTTCAAATCCCATCCTCGTCGTTCAGGGCGCATAGCTGATAGTGACCATTTTGCCTGTAAAAGCATGGTTTATTCCTTCTGAAATCTCTTGTGGAATAAGTCAGGTAAGTTACTTTCTTTCTTTAGAAATGCTTTCTTCCTAGACAATCACACCAAGTACAGCTTTTCATTTTCAGTCAATATTCCCCAGTTCAAAGGGCTGTGGGTTTTAGTCAAACAATTATCTATTTGTCTGAGAAACACTGCTTTGTGAAATGAAACTTTGTCATGGTGATTATGTTGAAAACGTGTCATAACATTTGAGCATCTCTGCTACATCTGTATGCATTGCGTAATCACTTGTGTTGTGATTTTTTTCTTTGAGGATCAAATTCTGCAAAGTGATAGTCCATGGATCAATGCTCAGCAGACTAACACTCTCAAATTCGTGAAAGCAATTGGCCAACAACTCTTGAATCTACATCTCCGGAGCACTGATTGGATGTGGCGTTATTTTTATAAAGATATAGAGAAGAGACAACCAATATCTGCATCTGAAATTCTCTCCACTGGGTCTATTATTGCTTTTGAAGCGATTGAAGTCACGCATAATTCCATTTTTTCAATTCTGAACTAAAAGATTACGGCCTCGGACACAGATATTCTATTTTTTTGCAGGATGGAGGTGGCCGAGTGGTTAAAGCGATGGACTGCTAATCCATTGTGCTCTGCAGCGTGGGTTTGAATCCCATCCTCGTCGTTCAGGGCACATAGCTGATGGTGACCATTTTGCCTGTAAAAGCATGGTTTATTCCTGCTGAAATCTCTTGTGGAATAAGTCAGGTAAGTTACTTTCTTTCTTTAGAAATGCTTTCTTCCTAGACAATCACAACAAGTACAACTTTTCATTTTCCAGTCAATATTCCCCAGTTCAAAGGGCTGTTGGTTTTTAGTCAGAAAATTATCTATTTGTCTGAAAACACTGCTTTGTGAAATGAAACTTTGTCATAGTGATTATGTTGAAAAGCGTGTCATAACATTTGAGCATCTCTGCTACATCTTGATGCATTGCGTAATCACTTGTGTTGAGATTTTTTTCTTTGAGGATCAAATTCTTCAAAGTGATAGTCCTGGGATCAATGCTCAGCAGACAAACACTCTCAAATTCGTAAAAAAATTGGCCAACAACTCTTGAATCTACATCTCCGGAGCACTGATTGGATGTGGCGTTATTTTTTATAAAGATATAGAAAGAATCAACCAATATCTGCATCTGAAATTCTCTCCACTGGGTCTATTATTGCTTGTTGTAGCGATTGAAGTCACATAATTCCATTTTTTCCAAGTGTGAACTAAATCCTACGCCACAGACACCATTAAATTCTAGTTTTTGCAGGAAAAGGTGGCCGAGTGGTTAAGGCGATGGACTGCTAATCCATTGTGCTCTGCATGCGTGGGTTCGAATCCCATCCTCGTCGTTCAGGGCGCATAGCTGATGGTGACCATTTTGCTGTAAAAAGCATGGTTTATTCCTTCTGAAATCTCTTGTGGAATAAGTCAGGTAAGTTACTTTCTTTCTTTAGAAAGCCTTTCTTCCTAGACAGTCACACCAAGTACAGCTTTTCATTTTCCAGTCAATATTCCCCAGTTCAAAGGGCTGTGGGTTTTAGTCAAACAATTATCTATTTGTCTGAGAAACACTGCTTTGTGAAATGAAACTTTGTCATGGTGATTATGTTGAAAACGTGTCATAACATTTGAGCATCTCTGCTACATCTGTATGCATTGCGTAATCCTTGTGTTGATTTTTCTTTGAGGATCAAATTCTGCAAAAGTGATTGTCCAGGGATCAATGCTCAGCAGACTAACACTCTCAAATTCTTAAAGCAATTGGCCAACAACTCTTGATTCAACATCTCCGGAGCACTGATTGGATGTGGCGTTATTTTTATAAAGTCATGGAGAAGAGACAACCAATATTTGCATCTGAAATTCTCTCCACTGGGTCTATTATTGCTTGGTGAAACGATTGAAGTCATGCAATTCCATTTTTTCCAATTCTGAACTAAAGATTATGGCAGCGGGCGACAGATATTCTATTTTTGCAGGGGGAGGTGGCCGACTGGTTAACTCGATGGACTGCTAATCCATTGTGCTCTGCGCGTGGGTTCAAATCCCATCCTCATCGTTCAGGGCGCATAGCTGATGGTGACCATTTTGCCTGTAAAAGCATGGTTTATTCCTTCTGAAATCTCTTGTGGAATAAGTCAGGTAAATTTACTTTTCTTTCTTTAGAAATGCTTTCTTCCTAGACAATCACACAGAAGTACAGCTTTTCATTTTCCAGTCAATATTCCCCAGTTCAAAAAGGCTGTGGGTTTTAGTCAGAGCAATTATCTATTTGTCTGAAAACACTGCTTTGTGAAATGAAACTTTGTCATGGTGATTATGTTGAAAACGTGTCATAACATTTGAGCATCTCTGCTATATCTTGATGCATTGCGTAATCACTTGTGTTGTGATTTTTTCTTTGAGGATCAAATTCTGCAAAAGTGATAGTCCAGGATCAATGCTCAGCAGACTAACACTCTCAAATTAAGTAAACAATTGGCCAACAACTCTTGAATCTACATCTCCGGAGCACTGATTGGATGTGGCGTTATTTTTATAAAGATATAGAAAGACAACCAATATCTGCATCTGAAATTCTCTCCACTGGGTCTATTATTGCTTTTTGGAAGCGATTGAAATCACACTAATTCCATTTTTTTTCCAAGTGTGAACTAAATGATTCACCACAGACACCATCATATTCATTTTTGCAGGGTGAAGGTGGCCGAGTGGTTAAAGCGATGGACTGCTAATCCATTGTGCTCTGCACGTGGGTTGAATCCCATCCTCGTCGTTCAGGGCGCGTAGCTGATGGTGACCATTTTGCCTGTAAAAAGCATGGTTTATTCCTTTGAAATCTCTTGTGGAATAAGTCAGATAAGTTACTTTCTTTCTTTAGAAAGGCTTTCTTCCTAGACAATCACACCAAGTACAGCTTTTTCATTTTCCAGTCAATATTCCCCAGTTCAAGGGCTGTGGGTTTTAGTCAGAGCAATTGTCTATTTGTCTGAGAAACACTGCTTTGTGAAATGAAACTTTGTCATGGTGATTATATTTGAAAACATGTCATAACATTTGAGCATCTCTGCTACATCTTGATGCATTGGAGAATCACTTGTGTTGTGATTTTTTCTTTGAGGATCAAATTCTGCAAAGTGATAGTCCAGGATCAATGCTCAGCAGACTAACACTCTCAAATTCTTAAAATAATTGGCCAACAACTCTTGAATCAACATCTCAGGGCACTGATTGGATGTGGCATTATTTTTATAAAAGATATAGAAAGAGACAACCAATATCTGCATCTGAAATTCTCTCCACTGGGTCTATTATTGCTTGTTGAAGCGAATGAAGTCAAGCAATTCCATTTTTTTCAAACTCTGAACTAAAGATTACGGCCGCTGGCGACAGCTGTTCTATTTTTGCAGGACAATGTGGCCGAGTGGTTAAGGCAATGGACTGCTAATCCATTGTGCTCTGCACGCGTGGGTTCGAACCCCATCCTCGTCGTTCAGGGCGCATTGCTGATGGTGACCAATTTGCCTGTCAAAGCATGGTTTATTCCTTCTGAAATCTCTTGTGGAATAAGTCAGGTAAGTTACTTTCTTTCTTTAGAAAGGCTTTCTTCCTAGACAATCACACCAAGTACAGCTTTTCATTTTCCAGTCAATATTCCCCAGTTTGAAGGGCTGTGGGTTTTAGTCAGAGCAATTATCTATTTGTCTGAGAAACACTGCTTTGTGAAATGAAACTTTGTCATGGTGATTATGTTGAACACGTGTCATAACATTTGAGCATTTCTGCTACATCTTGATGCATTGCGTAATCACTTGTGTTGAGATTTTTTCTTTGAGGATCAAATTCTGCAAAGTGATAGTCCAGGGATCAATGCTCAGCAGACTAACACTCTCAAATTAAATAAAGCAATTGGCCAACAACTCTTGAATCTACATCTCCGGAGCACTGATTGGATGTGGCGTTATTTTTATAAAGATATAGTGAAGAGACAACCAATATCTGCATCTGAAATTCTTCCCACTGGGTTCACTTCTGCTTGTTGTACTTATTGAATTCACACTATTACCTCTTTTTCCCCACAAGTCTGAACTAAATCCTCCAGCCTCGGACACCATCATTTGCATTCTTGCACGATGAGGTGGCCGAGAGATTAAGGCGATAAACAACGAATCCATTGTCCTCTGCACGCGTGGGTTCGAATCCCATCCTCGTCGTTCAGGGCGCATTGCTGATGGTGCCCATTTTGCCTGTAAAAGCATGGTTTATTCCTTCTGAAAACTCTTGTGGAATAAGTCAGGTAAGTTACTTTCTTTCTTTAGAAAGGCTTTCTTCCTAGACAATCACACCAAGTACAGCTTTTCATTTTCCAGTCAATATTCCCCAGTTCGAATGGCTGTGGGTTTTAGTCAAAGCAATTATCTATTGTCTGAGAAACACTGCTTTGTGAAATGAAATTTCGTCATGGTGATTATGTTGAACACGTGTCATAACATTTGAGCATCTCTGGTACATCTTGATGCATTGCGTAATCACTTGTGTTGAGATTTTTTCTTCGAGGATCAAATTCTGCAAAGTGATAGTCCAGGGATCAATGCTCAGCAGACTAACACTCTCAAATTCTTAAAGCAATTGTCCAACAACTCTTGATTCAACATCTCCGGAGCACTGATTGGATGTGGCGTTATTTTTATAAAGATATAGAGAAGAGACAAGCAATATCTGCATCTGAAATTCTCTCCACTGGGTCTATTATTGCTTGTTGAAGCGATTGAAGTCAAGCAATTCCATTTTTTCCAAGTTTGAACTAAAGATTACGGCCGCTGGCGACAACTGTTTTATTTTTCCAGGACAAGGTGGCTGAGTGGTTAAGGCAATGGACTGCGAATCCATTGTGCTCTGCACGCGGTGGTTCGAATCCCATCCTCGTCGTTCAGGGCGCATAGCTGATGGTGACCATTTTGCCTGTCAAAGCATGGTTTATTCCTTCTGAAATCTCTTGTGGAATAAGTCAGGTAAGTTACTTTCTTTCTTTAGAAAGGCTTTCTTCCTAGACAATCACACCAAGTACAGCTTTTTATTTTCCAGTCAATATTCCCCAGTTTGAAGGGCTGTGGGTTTTAGTCAGAGCAATGATCTATTTGTCTGAGAAACACTGCTTTGTGAAATGATACTTTGTCATGGTGATTATGTTGAACACGTGTCATAACATTTGAAGAGCATCTCTGCTACATCTTGATGCATTGGGTAATCCTTGTGTTGAGATTTTTCTTTGGGGATCAGATTCTGCAGTAGTAGTCAGGGATCAATGCTCAGCCGAACTAACACTCTCAATTCTTAAAGCAATTGTCCAACAACTCTTGATTGACATCTCCGGGCACTGATTGGATGTGGCGTTATTTTTATAAGATATAGAAAGAATGACAATATCTGCATCTATTTTAAAAAAAAATTTTTTTTTAAAACCTTTTTTTTTTTTTGGGGGGGGGTTTTTTTTTTTAAAAGAAAAAAAAGGGGAAAAAAAAATTTTCCCTTTGGTTTTTTTTTTTTTTTTAAAAAAACCTTTTTTTAAAAAAAAAAACCCCCCAAATTTTAAAACTTTTTTTAAACCGGGTTTTTAAATTTGGATTGGGTTTTTTTTTTAAAAAAAAACCTTTTCCCCAAATTTTTTTTCCAAAAAAATTTTTTTTTTAAATTTTTTTTAAAAGTTTTTTTTTTAAAAACCCCCCTTTTTTTTTTAAAAAAAAGGGGGCCCTTTTTTTTTTTTTTTTGGGGGAAATTTTTTTTTAAAACCAAAAGGGGAAAAAGGGGGTTTTTTTTAAAAAATTTTTTTCTTTAAAAATTTTTTTCCCCCCTTTTTTTAAAAGAAAATTTTTTTTTTTTTTTTTAAAAAAATTTTTTTTTTAAAAAAAATTTTTTTTTAAAAACCCTTTTTTTTTAAAAAATTTGGCCAAATTTTTTCCCCAAAAAATTTGGGATTTTTTTTTAAAAATTTTAAAAAACCCCTTTTTTTTTTTTAAATTTCCCCCCCCAAAAGGGGCCCCCCAAAAAAAAAAAAAAAGGGGGGAAAAAAAAAACCCCCCCGGGGGAGGGGGCCCTTTTTAAAAAGGGTTTAAAGGGAAAAAAAATTTTCTCCCGGGGTTTTCCCCCCAAAATTTTTGGGGGAAATTTAAAAAATTTTTTCCTTTTTTTTTTTTTGGGAAACCAAAAAAAATTTTTTTAAATTTTTTGGGGGGTTTTTTTAAAATTTTTTTTTTTTTAAAAAACCCCCCCCCAAAACCCTTTTTTTCCCCCAAAAAAAAAAACCGGGGGAAAAAAAATTTTTAAAAATTATTTTTTTTTTTTTTTTTAAAATTTCCTTTTTTTTTTTTTTTAAAAAAAAAAAAAAAAATTTTTTTTAAAAACCCCCCCAAAAAAAAAAATTTTAAAAAAAACCCCCCTTTTTTTTTTGGGGGTTTTTTTAAAAATTTGAAAAAATTTTTTGGGGTTAAATTCCCTTTTCCTGGGGTTTTATTTAAAAAATTTTTTTTTCCCCCCCCCAAAAAATTTTTCCCCCAAAAACCATTTTTAATTTTTTTTTTTAAAAAAAAATTTCTTTTAAATTCTCCCGGGGTTAACCCCCTTTTTTTGGGGTTTTTTTTTTTTTCCCCCCCCGGGAAAACTTTTTTCCCCAAGAAACCTTTTTAAAAATTTGGGGGGTTTTTTTTAAAATTTTTTAAATTTTTCCCCCTTTTTTTTTTTCCCCCCCGGGGTTAAAGGGGGGGTTTTTTTAAAAAATTTTTTTTTTTTTTTCCCGGGGGGTTTTTTTTTGTGGGGGTTTATTTTTTTTAAATTTTTTCCCCCCAAAAATTTTTTTTTTTTTTTTTTTTGGGGGTTTTTTAAAAAAATTTTTTGGGGAAAAATTTTTTTTTTTTGGGGGGAAAATTTAAAACTTTTTTTGGGGGTTTTCCTTTTTTTTAAAAAGAAAAAAAAAAATTTTTTTTTTTAAAATTTCTAAAAGGGTTTTTTTTTTTTAAAAAAAGGGCCCCCTTAAATTTTTTAAAGGGGGGGAAAAATTTTCCCCCCAAAAAATTTTTTTTGGGGTTTTTTAAAAAAAAAAAAAAATTTAATCCCCCCCGGGGTTTTAATTTTTTGGGGGGCCCTTTTTTTTTTGTAAAAAGGGTTTTTCCCAAAAAATTCTTTTTTTGGGGGGGGCCTTTTTTTTTAAAAAAAAAAATTTTTTTTTAACCCTTTTCCCCCGGTTGGGGGGTTTTTTTTTTTAAAAATTTTTTTTTAAAAAACCCTAAAATTTTTGGGGGTTTTGTAAAATTTTAAATTTTTTTTTTTTTTTAAACCCTTTCCCCCCGGCTTTTTTCCCTTTTTTTTTTTGGGGTTTTTTTAAAAAGCCCTTTTTTAAAAAAAAAAAAATTTTTCAAAAAATTTAAAATTTTCCCCAAATTTTGGGGGTTTTTTTTTTAAAAAAAAAATTTTAAATTTTTTTAAAAAATTTTTGGGGTTTATTCCGGGGGGTTTTAAAAAATTTTTTTTTTAAAAAAAACCCCTTTTTTCCCCGGAAAATTTTTTGGGGGTTTTTTTTGGGGTTAAAAAAAAACCCCCCCCCTTTTCTGAAAAAATTTTTTTTGTTGGGGAAAATTTTTTTTTTTGGGGAAAAAAAACCCCGGGGGGTTTTTAAAGGGGGGGGGTTTTTTTTTAAACCCTTTTTCCAAACCCCCCCCCCTTTTTAAACCCTTTTCCCCCCCTTTAAAGGGGGTTTTGGTTTTTTTTTTTTAAAAAAATTTTTTTGGGAAATTTTTTTTGGGGTTTTTTTTTTTAAAAAATTTTTCCCCCCCCGTTTTTCCCTTTTTTTAAATTTTTTTTGGGGGGTTTTTTTTTTTTTTCCAAAAAAAAAAAAATTTAAAGGGTTTTTTTTTTTTTTTAAAAAACCTGGGGGGGTTTTTTAAAAATTTGGGTTTTTTTTTAAAAATTTTTTCCCCAAAAGGGGGTTTTTTTTTTAAAAAAAACCCCCCTTTTTTTAAAAATTCCAAAATTCTTTTTCCCCGGGGGGGAGGGGGGTTTTTTGGGGTTGGGAAAAAAAAATTTTGGGGGGTTTTTTAAACCCCCCCCTTTTTTTTTGGGGTTTGGGGAAAAATTTTTTTTAAAGGGGTTTTTTTAAAAAATTTTTTAAAAATTTTTGGGTTTTTCCCCTTTTTTGGGGGTTTTTTAAAATTTTTAAAAAAATTTTTTTTTGGGTTTTTTCCCCCCCGGGGGGGGGGGAAAAATTTTTTTTTTTAAAAAAAAAAAAATTTTTTTTTTGGGGGTTTTTTAAAAAATTTCTTTTTTAAAAATTTTTTCCCCCCAAAATAAAAAAAACCCCTTTTTAATTTTTTTTTTTTTGGGGGGGGTTTTTGGGAAATTTTAAAAGGGAAAATTTTTTAAAAAACCCCAATTTTTCCCGGGTTTTTTTTTGGGGGGTTTTTTTAAAATTTTAAAAGGGGAAATTTTTTTTTTTAAAAAAGGGTTCCAAAAAAAAAAACCCCCAAAAACCCCCCCCAAAAAAAAAATTCCCCCCCCCCCTTTTTTTTTTTCCCCCAAGGGGGGCTTTTTTAAAAGGAAAAAAAAACCCCCCGGGGTTTTTCCCCATTTTTGGGGTTGGTTTTTCCCCTTTCCCCCTTTTTTTTTTTTCCCCCCAAAAAAAAAAAATTTTTTTTTTTGGGGGGGGTTTTTAAAAAAACGCTTTTCCATTTTTTTTTTAAAAAACCCCCGTTTTTTTTGGGGGGGTTTTTTTTCCCCCCCTTTTTTGGAAAAAATTTTTTTTTTTTTTTAAAAAATTTTTTGGAAAAACCCCCCAAAATTTTTTTTAAAAAAGGTTTTTTTTAAAAAAACCCAAAAAAAAAAAGGGGGGAAAAGGGGTTTTTCCGGTTTTGAAATAAAAACCCCTTTTTTTTTGGGGGGGGGTTTTTTTTTGGGTTTTTTTAAAAAATTTTAAAAGGAAAAAAACCCCTTTTTTTAAATTTTTTAAAGTTTTCCAGGAAAAAAAAAAATTTTTTTTTGGGGGGAAAAATTTTTTGGCAAAAAAATTTTTCGGGGCCGGGGGGTGGAAAATTTTAAAGAAAAAACCCCCTTTTTGGGCCCCCCCCCCTTTTTTTTAAAAAACCCATTTTTTTTTTAAAAATTTTTTTTTTTTTTTTTTTTTTTTTCCCCCCCCCCCAAAAAAACCCTTTTTTTTTTTTTCCCCCCC